TGTGTTGTGAAGATAAATATAACTGTGCATGGATAGCATCGTCAGTGCACTGTGATGCACCGAGATATCAAATTGAACTGAATCTATGGCATGGTAATCGTAACCAAACTGTAGTGTAGGTTTATACCCCTAATACACACACACACACACACAATCACACATGCACGCGCACGCACGCGCACGCACACACACACACACACACACACACGCTGATGATGATCAGTACAGCTCTATGCTTGTTAACATCAGTAAGTGTAATGAAAGCGTGTGGGGTTAATGAGTGTTTATTAGTCCGTCTGTGAGCGAACGGTGAGTGAACGTGTTAAATGCTGTAATTACGTCGTCATGGCGACCTGAATCTGATCGCCATGACAGCTGAACAAAGAGTCGTCATGGCGACCGGAGCCGTAACACCGTGTGCACTTCTGTAAAGAGCGAAGTTCATTTCTGCACTCATTTACACTCAGGATGCACACAGATCTGCAGCGTCAGACATTAGTACTCAGAGATGGACATTTCTGTGCTATCAGCATGTCTGATTAATGCAATGCCATTTATATATTGTTTTATTATTATTTATTTTCAGTTTTAGTCTGTTTTTGCCCATTTTTCAGGTTTTTCTAAAAAAATATTAATTTTCAATTCACTTTTTAGTCATTTTAGTATTTCAGCTTTAATATTTACAATGTTCATGATGTTTATATTTATTTTAGCTTTATTTCAGTTACCAAATATCATTTTAAAGCTGCTAAATGTAGGGTTTTTGACTCTTCTAAAGCATAACAATACAATAATATGTGTGCAGATATTCAGAAACATGCTCAGTGAACATTCTTGTTTATCAGAGACTTAATGCTGACGTCAGATATTCTGCTGTGATCATGTGCGTTACGTGCTGGAGCGGCTGTCTTTGTTTTGGTTATTTAACCCGCCCAATGCCAGTTTAGCCAATTATATTTCAGCACCGCGGGTTGCCAGATGGTGGAAAACAGTGTATTTCATTCATTCAGCAAGGAAGACTCTCAGAGTGTGTGTTCGTGACTGANATGTGACCTCCGGTGGACAGTAGCGGACTCTGAATCGAGAAGCAGATTCAGAGTTCCACATGGGGTTATTCATTCATTCATTTTTCTGCTTAGTCCCTTAATTAATCAAAGGGTTGCCACAGTGGAATGAACCACCAACTTATCCAACATATGTTTTATGCAGCGCATGTCCTTCCAGCTGCAACCCATCACTGGGAAACATCCATACACACTCATTCACACACATACACTACAGACAACTTAGCTTACCCAATTCACTTATAACACATGTTTTTAGTTGCTGGTTCAGGTCTCGGCTGGGTCAGTCGGTGTTCTTGTGTGGAGTTTGCATGTTCTCCCCGTGTTGGTGTGGGTTTCTTCCGGGTGCTCTGGTTTCCCCCACAGTCCAAACACATGCGCTATAGGAGAACTGATCAACTACACTGGCCGTAGTGTATGAGTGTGTGTGAATGAGTGTGTATGGGTGTATGGGTTTCCCAGTACTGGGATGCAGCTGGAAGGGCATCCGCTGAGTAAAACATGCTGGAATAGTTGGTGGTTCATTCTGCTGTGGCGACCTCTGATGAATAAAGGGACTGAGCTGAAGAAAAATAAATGGATATTAGCACTAAACTTTTCCATTATTAAATTTAGTTCTGTATTTTGTGTAATTTATTTATATATTCTGATATTATTATTTTATTTATTTATTTTTGTTGTGTTTTTGTCAATTTTATTATTTACTATAAAGTATTTCTATTTAGCTTTCTTTTTTTCAATATTTCAGATTTTTAAAACTGTGATCATATATAATTCTGTTTTTCATCATGTTTATATTTAATTTCAGCATTATTTTAATAAGTAAGCCACCGTGCCGCGCTGTTTATTTATATTTAGATATAAAATATATGTGTGTGTGTGATACAAATTACACACGAATTTAAATCTCTAAAGCTCGTGTTTCTTCCCACTCTA